TAAATGGTCAAAACCAGCACAATCATAGCCATGAGAAAACAGTATAACTGATGGCCATAAAATAAGCAAGTCGGAAATCATGCCAATGAGTTAATTTTGGATTATGCGTCGCACACCGCGTCACTATACCTGTAGCATGTGAACGCCGTCTAGGGCAAGAGCGTCGCCCAAATAAATACATCAAAGTGTGTGAGTATCGTAGTAATCTTTTTCTGCAATAGGAACCAATTGAGTGTGTAACTTGAACTTCAAATTTTTTTAGACGTAGATTTCAAAAAATATAAAGCAAAAACTTCACTCGTCGATAGGTGGCGCTATCTGTCGATGTTTATCATTGTTAGCAATGAGAATGTACAGGTTTCTTTGAGGGAGGAGTTCTCTCTATAGCAAGTCTAGACCTAGAGACGGTTAGCCTTTAGATGACTAAAATTAATATTGTACTAAAAATTATTAATCATTCATGATGACATACAAGGAGAACAAAAATATTTCATAAACTATAGAAAATCTACCTTTTGAATTAATTAGCTATTAGAAAACCAGGAATATATATAACAGACTTTACTATAAATTAGGATTTGACTATGAAAAAGCGACTTCAATGTATTCGCATATAGATTAATATTGACAAATCTGCCTTGAAATTATTCATGTTTAATAGGTATTCCATTATGATATTTGTAGAGATGAAATAATAAATTAGTTCTTATCACAATTAAAAATCATGAACATAAATTATTTGCGGTAAATAATGAAATACAAATCAATATATGTCAGATTTTTAACTTTTATTAATCATTTGATTGTTTTTTTCCGATACTATGTAGAATTTTGCAATCACAAACAATATTAAAAACAATGTACTGAAAATTCTAATTAATATTCATCTGCTTCATAGAAATCATTTCTAATTGATACTGATATAATTGTGCACTAAAGGAAACTTCATCTTTTATTTTCAAAGTGTCATAAGATATTTTGTCAACCCAAATTAATGTTAAATTGCTAATTTTTACTCTTCAAGTACAAACCAATTATCCGACTGTGATTATGAACAATTATATTTTATTTATTTATTTATTTATTTCAGTGAGGAAACCCATTGCCTAGTTTGTGTATGACATAACACATTTTAAAAACAGATGAATAATTCTATTTCATATATTTCGCATCTTCTTGCTTAAGTAAAAGTGCCGATGATTTTGCATCAAGAAATACATCTCGTACTTCCTCGATTTCTTCTTTTTCTATTTGATCTTTACCATTGATACGAGCAAGAATATTGGCTGGCGTCATTAATTGTACAGCATATCTAAAAATCATCATGACAAATAAAACTTTATAGTGGCAAAAAGACGAATTTTTTCATACCGTAATGTTGATACATTTCCGATTTCAGCAAGTGTTTGTAAAGACTCATCGCTAACATCAATATGTTCAACTTTTGCACGTATTCGAAGAATCTGTAAAATAAATAAAATATTTGGAAAAGATTGTTTCAGAGTAAGAAAAATACTAATTACTTCAATCATTTCTTCCATTCCATAAGGAAGTGTACGAATAATCATAATACGATCAATTAAATCAAGTGGCATACCATGTGGTGAAAGAATTTCTGTGCCACTAAAACAATTCAAGATTTTATTAAATATGATTAAGTTGTCTTTCCCAAGAGTAATAAATTTTAATGTTTTGTTGGAATAATTGAACTCAATATAGACATCTAGAAACAGAGTATGAGGTCTAAACTTTTGTTTCTGTATTTCTCCAAATACTTCATAATAATTTCTTTTCCGCTCATTCCACAAGGACCCTCATTGTTTTGTTTGAAAGAGTCTGTAAATGCGAACTGTCGAGTTGTTATTAATTCCATGTCTTCTGTGGTTCGATTAACAACACTTCTACGCATAGATGAACATTGTTTTTTTGAAGACTTTTTCCAGATGTACTTTTTTTCCTCCGCACAAAACTAAGAATTTTAAGAAACATGATACCAGTCTGGCATAGTCATTCGAATGAAAATGAAGATCCAGAGAACTTTTGCTTTATTGAAAATGTTTTTTCCACACGTTGTGAGTTTAATGTCTCCCGAAGGCATTTAAAAAATGACACTACGATGTGTAAACTCTACGTAACTTAAATGCAGTTTGTGCAACGTGGATGTTGAGCAAGTGAATAGTTAAAAAAAATAATGCTTTTTTTATATACCGTATTAGACATCGTCCTCGATTTGTTGCAAATATAACAATTGGTGCAAGTGGACTTTCTAATGCTCGATGTAAATAAGTAAAACATTCGATATCCAACATATGAACTTCATCAACGAATAAAACGCCAGGTACAAGTTCAGCGACACCCTGATCAATATATTTATTGACAACTTTATTTATTTCACGACGAAGTTTATCTAAAATTGAATTCAATAGTTTTTATTAGACAGGAAAAGATGAAATATTTTTACCAGTTATTTCAGTTTTTTTTGGTTTAATTAATGAGCCCATTATTGATAAAATATCTTGTCCACCTTGTGGTCGTGCATTAGCCACATCCAAGTCGTGTAATGTAACATCTTGTACAACTTCTTTCTTTTTATGTACATCACCTTTTGGTAATGGAACATATTCTTCAGTTTCGAGATCATATTCAGTCGCATAAGCATCGCATCGACCTTGTCTCTATTGAAAACGCAAAAAGAAAATTATTTTATTTTCATTCAACGAATCGAATCGCATTGTTTTTTTGTTGAAAATATACTTTAACAGCTCCTGAATTAGCTTCAATATAAATTACATCGCCAATTTCAACTTTTTCTTTTTGTAATGTTTCATGAATCGACGGATCGAGTTTAAGTTGCTTTGCTCCTTTAACTGTACGTAAACCAATCACAACATGACTGACGGTTTTGCCGTAACCTATAGAATTTCTAATGGTTTGCACAAGATAAATATGTGTCTCTTACCACCGTAGTTATTTTCAGTCTCGGTTGGTGTGATTTCTGTAACTTCACCTTCATAGACTTCTTTGACCTCTTTTATACGTAAACCAATAGCACGACGAAAGTTTTCCATTAATACTTCTGTTTTCTTAATTTCTGCTGAATAAACTTCACTGCCAACCATTGGACAAAATGGAACACGAGAACCAAGTTCTTGAGCAATGGCCAATGCAAGAGCAGCTAATTAAAAATGCATCCACTTAATTAATTGGATAGGTGTGCATAGATTTTAAATATTTACATAGAAGTCTAAATGGATCCTTTCATTAAGGTCGTATAATTTCCCTAGATGTTTAGTACTCTATGTAATATTTCATTAGGCATGTCATGTCAAAGTTATGACACGAAATGTCCACCGTTTGACTCAAAAATATTATCGAAGAAAAAATATTTGTTTGGATTGATCGGAAATATTTTTCTCTTTGCTTTTATATAACTCTATTGCTTTTACCGTAGAACAATACTAAAAGCAAGCATTTAAATTAAATGTCGTATTCACAATCAGATTATATTAAAAAATCGCAATTCTGATGTGTAAATATTTCTTTTTCCTGAAATTGTTTTCTCAATAAATGTATGTTAAAACATAATTCATAGAAATGATTAGCATACATGATATAATATTCATCCGAAGGGTCATACTAGTACTATTGTTTCTATGGAGAATCTTTTGTTCGCTATTGTCAATGTTTTCTATTCAAGACTATTAATCCCAAAAGTATCACGGCACGAGAAAGTAAACGTAAAAGAGGCTCATGATTTTTTTTCTACATATCAAACTTGTTACTAAAATTCATTCATATTTTCTACAATTCTCTAACTAACGCAAGAGCATATTTACAGCTAGAATGAGTTTATGAAACTTGTCTGATTACTTTGTAAGATTTAAAACTTAATTCTGATGAAAACCTTGTGATGAATAAGTTTGAACGAACTAACACAAATCTGCTAGGAACTGATTTTTTCTATTCCCTTTTTAAACTAGTGAATACGCTTGAAAACCATTTTGTCCATTCGTTATGGCTTAAAACCAAACAAACAAGGGAAACAAAGTATCTTCTTGAAAAAGTCTCTTTATAAGTCTCGTAGAAAATTTTCTATTTCTCTTTACAAGATTTGTTCAATTTAAATAAGACAAGTGAGCTTAGTACCAAATATTTCCAGGATATTTTCTAGTTATTTCTAGAGTATAGAAATGTTGTCAATGCTGCGCATCGTATAATATTCGAATAGGTGATATGCTAATCATTTTTCATTCATTTCGTTTCAAAATAGAAACTGAAGATATTTTTGAACTTACTTTTTCCAGTTCCTGGTGGTCCAGCTAATAAAACAGCTCGACCAGCCATTTTCTTTTGACGAATTAATTCAACAATGATGCCAGCTGCCTGTAAAATTAGAAACGACAAAAAAATTCAATAACAACAATGTTAAGTACAAAAAGAAGACGCAGACTTCGCGTGCTTGTTCTTGACCAACAAGGCCACAAGCATTACGTATTGCTTTTTGTTCTGCATCGAGTCCCAAACCTTTTACGTGACTATGAGCTGATATACGTTGTGATTTTGTTGTACTTTTAACTTCTTCGATTTTCATCGTTATTTTACTATAGCACTATTTCTACAACAATACAAGTCAGTCAGTCGGCCAGTCAGCAAGCATGAGAAAAGTGATATATATATATACGATGAATCACCATAACAACGGATCGATTGTTAATTGGTATATATACCTATTGGAATTTGAGCGAACGAACAGATGTGCATACACATGGAAAAAGAGAAATTTTATTTATACATCATCAAATTGAAAAGATGTCGCAATCTGTTTTGAAATAATTCTCATTCTTTATTAGAAGTCTTCTGGTATTTATCAACTTATAGTGGACAAACATATTGTTAGAATGAATGAAAAAGTTATTAATATATATTGTAAATGTAGATATTTGTATATGATTGAATGATTTGTGCTCATGCTTTTTTTAGGCGTGTATCTTTTATTATTATTAAACAAGACAATCTGTACCACCAGCACAATTGCATTGTTTAAGATTGAGAAGAATACGTCTTTGCCAGCCAAGTTCTTTAATTAAATGAACCATCCACGTAGCACAAAATTTAGCTACGTCATTTTTATGATGTGATACAAGACTAGGTGTTGAATCTGGCATAGTGAAGCCTGTTAATAAATAATTAACATAATTAGGACAAAACTTTTCACGGCATTCGCTAGCTTCTTGTTTATCTTTCACTAAACCACAACTTAATTGGCATGTATCATAGTAAATTTCTTGAAGCTCTTCTGTTGTAGGTGCTGCCAAATTACCAGCAACTAAAAGTGAATATAATAATCGAGAATTATAAAATAAAACGATAAGATAGCAGATATATTCAAATACAATTAGTTATAACCTAATTTCATAAATATAATAAGACAACAGGATGCCGTAAACTAGAAAGAACTTTGAATTCTATAATCATAAGTACGTTCGAGCTGGTGTGGGTCATAATTGATTGCTCTATTATTTATATTTTCATTTTTGGAAGAGTAAATAAACTGAAGGAATAGTACTCAAGAGGGAAGGTCACAAAGTGTTCAATCGCTTTTGCGTTGAAGCTGCTTACATTATGTAGCTCCCAAGGAGTTATGAATACACTGAAAATATTTTGGGCGGATAGCTTATTGTTACAAAAATAGACCATTTCTAAGGTATGGGTTTTAGTGAGAACCTGGGGTCCCCCTCAGAAACATTAAAAAAATTGATTTTCGAATTTCAACTTGAACTTTACATAGAAAGACGCCCTAAGGAGAACAACTTTTTGTGAACGTTTCAGACCTTTCTACGTTTCCTATCACTAGACACAGTTATTGTGAAATTTTTATTTTACATCTTTCAAATAAAGTAGCAGATTTTATGAAAAAAACTAATGCAATGGCCTAAAACATTCATAAAACACTATTCTCGTGGAGCTCTATTGTTATATAAAATTTCAAATCAAAATTCGAAAATCAATTTTTCTAATGTTCCTGAGGGGAGTACGGCAACCATAAAACAATGCCATAAAAATGGTCTATTTTTGTAACAACAAGCTATCCGCCCAAAATATTTTCAGCGTATTCATAACTCCTTGGGAGCTAAATAAAACATGTAGTTTCAACGCAAAAGTCATTGAACACTTGGTGGTCTTCTCTCGGCAGTGCTACTTTTCTTGTACATGAAGAAGAAAATGCTTGACTGACGTTCAGTGTTTTGTCAGTTATAATAATTCATTTAGTTTAAACTTATTTCTGTCAATTCGAAACAAGGAAAAACTCAAGAAATAGAATTTGATTATGTTCTAAAAGGCATCTGTTTTATTTCTAAGATAGTTTGAATACCGAGCAAAGCGAAATGGGAAATTAGCATAATTTATTGTATGAAGAATAATTTCAAAGATTTGATTTCCAAAATTATATTCCGACAAAGAAAAAAAGAAAAATTGACTATCGTTATCTTCATTAATAGTTTAAACTTAATTGCACATATATCAGATATCATCTGCGTCAACTAAAAATCCAATGTGTCAAAAACATAATTAGAAAAGATTATTTTCACCATCTAATGCTAATATGTAAAATTATTTAATGTGATTCATAAGAAAATATTAAAGAAATTCTCTCAGCAACTCAATTGTTTACTGAAAAGTAATTTTCAAAAATGAATCAAATTAACAATGTAAAATTGTCGATTTTTCTCAATGAAATATTGTCATCCGATTTAATTTTCATAGATGAAGCAGATGCCGAGAACATTAAACAAATGAGACATAATGAGAGAGTCCGTTGTGCTCAAGTCCCTCTCTGTGGCTAAGATAATCATTATATTTCGTGAAAAATTCGTCTGCCTAGAATATATTCATAATAACTATGTCATATTTAATTGTTGGATAATTATTCGCAAGAGGAATAATTTACATAGGATAACTTACTTAGAAGACCAAATAAGAGAAAGCTGAGTTGAACCATGGCTAGTGAAATTTTGCTCGATGTGAACGGTGTCACCATTGAATTTAGAATATTGTTAGTAAAATATAATCTGAAACCACATATAATATAGACACGATAAAAAAAGGACCTATAAGTAGTTCGTTTTATTATATTATAACATTATCTCTAGAATATCTTTCTTTTGTTACTACTTCCATCAACATGATGAAGAAGAGAAAAGAATGCGAGACTTCTATTCATGTGTTTCTATTACATTATATATAAAAATATACTATTACGGAAGCGAGAAAAATCGATCCCCAATATTCTTTTTTTTCATCCTATCTTAGCTAGTTTAGTTTGCTTCTTACATTTAGTTCAGTGACATACTAAGTAAATCAATTATAATAAAAAAATTTGTATAAGAAAGACAGATAAACAAAAAGAAAAAGACGTGGCATAAAATAGAACGTCAATTGAAATTAGTAATGGACATGGCGGCACTCGATTATATTACGTTAAAAATAATATAGCAATAAACAAGAACACGATTAAAAAGAAAAAATGAGAAAATTTCTAAATACATTATTCTGGTTTTGATACATCATATAGACATATATCTATATTATCGACCTATTTCTCGCATCATGTCAAAAAGAATCATTTTCTTTGTTGAAAATCTATTGCAATAGAATATACAACGAACGGAGAGAGAAAACAAACAAGCACAGAAAAAGTAGAAAGTACCAACGAAATTTAAGCTTTTTAACAAGATTCCATAAATTATTTCTTTCATATTAAAAATAAATCTTAACGGCGGCTGTCATGCTTTAATCTTCTTCAGTAAGTAGTAAGCAGAAGAAGAGAGAAAAATGCAACCTAACAGTAATAAATACATGAATGCGAATTCTATCAAACCAAAGATCTAAGTGAATCCACTGGAAATAATAATAATTTCATACTATGACAAATTGCCGTTCTAACTATACTAGTGACGACTCATTTTCTTTTCGATGAATTTAGATATACGTATTAACGGTTGAAATAATTTCGATCCACGTTATAGGATGAGACAGTACGCTAATGAACTGTAAGCGTAATAATATGTTTTGATCAACCAAATATTTTATACATGAAATATGGCTAATATAACCATGTACTCTTCTAAAATAATTTTATATAATATCGTTCGATTTAATGGATAGTTCAAACAGTTTCTGATGTCGATGAAGAACTATTTTTTTTCCAAATTTTATTGTAGATCGAACGATTTTCTGTTAGATATTAATTTTTGTATGATAATAGTTTTATCGGGTTTTTTTTCTGCAGACAAATATTCATGAAGTTAATAGACTGAAATTGTTATAAAATTTTAAAATGAATTATTTATTTTTTCTGGAAAGAAGAAACATTATTTATAGCATTGTTTTCTATTTTTGAATTGAAGAGTCTCTTTTATTTTGAGTATCAAAGAAATTTTTTTTTCTCATTAGTCTAATACATCTTATCAATAAAATCAAGAGAAGATTGTAATAGAATAGCGTCAAACTATTAATCATCATACGTTATCAGATAGTAAATGAGTTGATGCATATATTCATTCAATAATGATACAAAACAAAAGAATTGTTCAAGATTAATAAATGTATATCAACGCCTCCGGTTATATTTGAAGAGATTAAATCAAAAATATTTTGCGCTCACATTGGTTTACCTCAAGGCAATAGCTTAAGTCCCTATCTTTTCATTGTCTATCGTAGTGATCTTGTTACATGTGTTAGGTGCTTTTTCAAGTCTACTTTTGCTGATGATCTCAATGTACTAATATTCCCATATATGTCAAGGAGTTAAGCCGATGATTAAGTTTTTAGAAGAAGAAGAAGGAACAAAAATATGTAATAAAATAGCGTATTACTCCAAGAAATGGAAACAACCAGTTAATTTCTCAAAAACAGTAGTTCAGGTTTTTCACTCTCAAGTGCAAAATCCAGTAGTTGCTATCTATATGGAAGGTAAAAAACTAGAAGTAGTTAAAGAATTTAAATATCTTGGTTTTACTTGGACAAATAAGATGTCTTTGAAACCAACGATAGACAAAACACTTGAAAACATTCAAAGAACGTTTAGTAAATTAAGATGGATGACCGGTGGTAAAATCCTCTCAAACGATGTCTTATGAAGATGTTTCTTTGCTTTCGCTTTCCCATATTTTGCCTGGATATTTCCTTTCTACCCCTTCCTGTCCCTTTGCTTGAGCAACAGATCTTCTGCAAATAACAAATGAAGAGTCATTGGAAGAATGTGTGAAAAGATATATAAAGAAACGATTAGAACGAATTGAAAAATCAGATTTAGGTCTTTCACCCTTTTACAACGATGTGTTCCAATTTGGAATACATTTCATACAAATAAAAATGATCATATGGGACACTTTTTTCGAATGAAACGAGTTAGACTTATGCGTGAAAAACATCAATCACTGCTTCTTCAAAGGCTTGAGTTTTTATGTGTGTGAAGTTCTGCCATGTGATCAATTGATATGTTACTCACATCATTCTTTAAATCGTTACTCCTTTTTTTCTCTTTTTCTTTCTCCTTTTCGTATTATTACTAGCTTTTCTCTTCTTTCTTTGTCCTTCTTTTTCATTTTTCATTTTTCTCGTATGTTTTTACATTTTATCTACAAAACGTGCCTTATTTTAACTTAATGATGTTTCTTGCATGCTTATATCGCGCATGATTGTGAAATCGTGCAGCTGTGAATGTATAAATTATTATTTGTAAGCACTTCCGAGTGTAACAATAAAGAAAGAGAAATAAAAATAAATAAATAATATCAACGCCTCCGGTCTCGATTTAACTAATCATATTGTTTACTGAGAAATAAAATAATACTGGTTAGCCTTTTAAAATGTTTACAAACATCTATCCAAATACTTATATTTTTCAACAGGTTTTACTGTACATAAGTGCTCAAAAGTAAATATATTACAATACTATCAATTATTGTAAATTTTCTAATTGATTGTACTGTGTTAGTTTTTTTTCGTGTTTCTTGCGACACTTATGCACTGAGAAGTGGTTTCTTTTCACAATTCAATTTAAAAAACACGTGCATCTAATATTTATGTACCCAATGATGAATGCACATTGGTTGTCAGGATGTGTATTTGTTTTTCAAGAACTATGAGAAAAACCATTTTCATCATGCAGACGGATTCATCTAACTGATAATAATTAGTTTTGTTTTCGGTTGAATGGAAACTAAGATTTAGCCCGAAAAGTTCATGATACTATTTTTATAATGAATTCCATCGAGGCGATGCACTCTCATTTATAAAATTAGTTGTAAACGATGAGTGATGTGATAGAAGCTGTTTTTGACAGCATGATTTTCTAAAAATTAACATATTTTTAAGGAAATCATATATTTTTCAGATGAATGTGTAACATTTCTTTAATTCTTCCTTAGAAGATTTTATGCCTGTGTAAATAACGCATTAGATTATGCCAGGCGCTTATTAATTTATGCTTCGATGTAAAAAGAATTAGTATGCATGAGGTGAGACGTCCTTTTATTGATGATATCTTATAATATGAATTCTTTTGAAAGAAAATCTAATACACCACAGTCATTTTCTGTGCTTGTTAAGAATATGATTAAATAATTCAAACTGTTAAGAAAAGAATAGCATTAAGGAAAATCCGTTGACGATCAATGCTTTTTCCTTCTTACAATGATATTGCGCTCTATTCATTTTATTTCAATAAAAGATACTGGTTAACATCTGTTTTCTACGGAGCTTCTAATGAAAAAAGAATGCGCTATTCAAGAACTTTTTCCGTTAGATATCTACTAAAAAGACATCAACGACAGTTAAATGTGGATTTTTTGCTATTCGTAACAGTCGCTCAGTTGCCGCAAGCGTGCTTGTTGTCTTTATTCTGTGAGAATCATATAGTACTTGTTTTTGAGAATGGCCCTGAGGAATTGTTTTACAATTTATATGATTATTTTTTTTGTACTGCGATCGGCAAAAAATTGCTTGCTGATAGATTTATTAATTTTTATTCGTGTCTCTCGAGTAAGGTAACGAAGGAAAATAATTAGCTGTTAATCATTAATCGGTGTGAGGCTTAGTTTTTTTTACATAGGATTCGTTGAAGTGAATGAAATTGAGAAAAGGATTTATTCTCATTGGCCTTCTTTTTAGAATTATAACTTTGAAAGCTTACTTTCGGCTTAGATTAATATTTACTCATATGAATTCAATAGGAGAGAAATTTCGTCTGAAATTTTCTGCATAGATAGATAAAATGGTTGTTAAAATATCATAAGAATAGTTCTTTCATTAGATATTGAGTGTTCAGAAAAAACGAACGTATACTACAATGAAGTGAATAACGCGACTTTTCTGTAGGATTAAAAATCTCGAGAAAATACAATCGCTGTTGACTAAAAATTTCAGAATATTATGAAGATAATGAGACTTATTTAGGAGGCAGAGTTCAATTCAAAATTTTCGTTTTTTTCATTGTCCGTGAATGTTTTACCATAAGCCGGAAATCCAGTAGGATTGTTGTAGCTTCAAAAGATAGACAATGGGAACAAGTCTCTTTTGAATTTAAGTTGTCTTCCGGAATTTTACTTGGCACGGAAATGTTACTCGTTGGTAATTAGCTTCTGATTGTGTTTTTACGTATAATCTTACTGTAAATTAACGTATTGAATCGATGCTGATTGCAATGTTGTATTAGATAGCGTAGAATCTTTATGTCTATGTTAAAAAACAGAGTTTTACGGAAAATGATTCCTGAGAAACGAATGGCGTGCGAAAACAAACGCTAACTACATCTTTCAGAATATTAGAATATTATTTATATTGATTGAGAGTGTATCGAACGTTTCATATGAAAACGTCGAACCATCCAGAAGAAACAGTTTTAGACGAATAGTCTCGTATTCGAAAAATATGAATGATGGATCTGTGACATGTTTAATTTTGCTTTTAGTTCGTAGAGAAATTTTGGAAAACTATAAATATCAAGCAAAATGGAGTTATAACATAACAAAGCAACGAGAAAACGCTTGATAATTTACTGATGAAATTTTTTCTTAGAGTATATATGTTAATATATAGCTTTAAGTGTTGTGTAAACTCTTCAGAAACTTAGCACACATTCGACTAAGTTTGATTTGAACTCCCAAAAGTAGTAAATGAGTTAATTTCTTTGTCGATTTTCAGCTGATTTTATAAAAGAAAAAAAAGCAACAATTTCTTAGAAGATTTTCAATACATTTTGCCTTCGCAAAGTAGAAGAAAACGCTGGAGTGCAAATGATGAGTATTGTATGTCTAAATTGCATGTCATAAATTTAAGATTATTACAACTCGAATAACTCATTAGTTACAAGAGACGATCAACGAGTTGCAAGTTTCTTAACAGGCTAGCAGCATCTATTGGATGCTAAGTATACTAATCACGATACCTTATATCTCGTTGGTCTTCTGCAGTTCGAAAGAAACTCGGAAAATAGCGAGCACAAAGAAAATTTCTTTTATCTATCTAGTAAACCAAATAACTATGATGTTTAAGTTCACATATAGAGAACGTTCAAAGTCTGTGTTGAACTTTGAAGAACATCAATATACAAGAAAAGGGGAAAATAAAACTGGCCAAGAAATAGCACATTAAATAGAGTGATAGCTTTAATGTAATATTATTTTCTTTGATACTAAATAGTTCTTTCTCTATAAATCCTATATTAATTTACAGACAATCAGAGACGAGTTAAGGAAAATTTTAATTGGGACGTACTGGGGATGGGACGAATCGGGGCTAAACCAATAAAAACGATGCTGTTTGACTAATAATATCAATCAGTCTTGACGAAGAATCAATAATTAATTTGAAATTCGAAGCCCTATCAGATTAATGTTTTCAACATGAGAAAACTCGAGGTAGTAATGAACAGAAAAATGCAGTACTACATATAGGTATCCTCTTAATTTTTGAAAGATTCTCAAGTTCAAAGTATCAAGTACGTAAATCGATCATTTATAATGAAAATAAATATTGGAAGTAGATTTTCCCTTAATAATTAAGGCTAAATATATTTCTTAGCTACAGACTCAAGTCTTGGAAATAAACACTTATTCACTCGGTAAAATTATGTGAATACTTATCTCAGACTAATTAATAAATGATCTACTCTTAAATCAGCCAGTATTAATATGAATGAAAACGTTGTTAGCTGATATGAACTAGATCATATAGTTCATTTGTGCACGTCTTTCACTTCCGTACTGGGCGAAATTACAAGAACAATGAGGAAAATTTCCTTATCATGCTTTGTAATATAATCAGTCTTTGTTCTATTAAGTGCATTAAGTTCAGACTGATTTGATTAATTCGTATGATTATATGGCGTGATCCAACATGATAATATCTGCTTATAATCTATTAATAGAATGTATTATCTCTCAATGTTGCTAGGTCTCATTAGATAATATGTCTATCGGCAAGTGTTTCAATTCCGATTTTTTTAATTTGCTGTATTACAATCGTTGAATCATTTCGATATAAATATAATTGGTTTCTACATTCATTGTGGGCAGATTTAATACTGAGTAATTGATCTCGTTTTAGTACAATTTGATTTGAGCAAAAAAAAAGAGAAGGCGAATTTTCTCATTGCTACACTAAAGTAATAATTGGTAAATTTTTGATAGCTCAGAGCATTCGGATGTATCTATTAGATAAAAATCGGTTGGCCGTAGAAAGGCCGAAAGGAAAAATATCGAAAGGAAAAATACCGAAAGAAAAACACCGAAAGAAAAATATCGAAAGGGAAAAATGTCGAATGGATAAATGTCGAAGAGAAAAATGTCGAAAAGGAAAAATGTCGAAAGAAAAATATCGAAAAGGAAAAATGTCGAAAACAGAAAAGATAGAAAAAAACGACGTCTACTAAATGAAGGTTCTAATAGTTTATTGTTGTTGATCTGATTATTCCATTGGTTTGACAATGATAACCCTTGATACTATTGATAAGTAATATCTTATGAAAACTAGCTAAAATAGGCGTAAAATAGTATACAACGATTAAAATTTTATCATGATGACTACAGCTTGCTCATTTTTATCTGGTGAGAATCATCCGCCAACTCCAGTTATTTCATTTATTCAGTCGTAAAAAGGAAAACCTTTCCTTGTATCAGATAAATATATTTTCAAACTGAATACAACAGCAACAACTAGTAAATATTGGATATGTGTATTTTTCTTTATAACTCTTATTTATCTATGATTTATGCTATGATGCTATTATGATTTCAAGAATAAAAACATCTTAATGCAAATTTTCGACATTTTTCCCTTTCGATATTTTTTCTTTCGATATTTTTCTTTCGACATTTTTCCTTTGGTCATTTTCTATATTTTTCCTTTCGATATTTTTCCCTTTCGACATTTTTCCTTTCGGTCTTTCTACGGCACACCATTGTTTTCTCCTAAGACACGAATTATGCCAACATTTGACAATTTAGACGATTGTAACAAAAGTTTGATATTATATATAATAATATTCATTTTAATGCATTCATTTTTTTCCTAATTAACAGTTATTGATGAATCGAGTATTGATAAGATCTTATTATCCAATACAGTTTTATTCACTAATAAGTCTTGTTCTTACTCAAACACAAAAAAGTCTTCTGTTAGAGATTCAAATAATTCAAATATGTTTTCCGTCTATTATTTTAATCTATTAATCAAGAAATTAGACGTTGTCAATAAAATCTAGTGTGAGTCTACAGGTGCCAGTAATTCGTAAAATTCACATTATTTTTCTTCAACAGTAATAAAAAAAAGAAAGATATTATGCACTATCACCTCGGTAAGAGTCCAGATTCACTACTCGAATAGATTATCTTAGATACTATTAATTCGTCAATCAATTTCAAACGAACAAAAGAAAATGATGAAAATCGTTGTGCCTTAAAAGGTACCAATAGAATCAAATAAACTTACTTTACGTCTTTACTTTTATTTAGAAGAAATATTTATAGATAATGCTATTTTTTATTATCTCTTATCATTATATACTATGCAATTTTTTTCTTTTGCCATTTACGAAGGTCATGCATTCATGAAGAATGACTTGTCGCATGTGAGTATAGGTGATTATAAATCAAATATTTTATTTAAATCGTATCAAATGGGAGTTCTAGGCATACTATATGAGTTCAATCAAGAAGAAAGGCATAAGGTTGATAATTTCATTCGGAAAAGTTGTTCTCGATTCTGTTGCCATAAATAGTTGATTTGTACTGTCATGACAAGTTCAATCTTTTGGAAAACTTAATGTTGTAAATGAAAGAACTATCTTTAAGAAATAGTATATAGTTGCAGCAAACCACTGCCATCTATTTCGAATTTCCGCCTTTTTCTTTCTTTACTACATCTGACTAGTCCTAATAGAAAATCGAAATCAACCATGTATATATTTCCATTCGAAAGTGTTAACTATAAATCATGAAAATGCCAATTTTAATGATTCTGATGTTGTGTGCATTTGTTAAGCAATGATTTTCAACAAGATATTGTTTGCTTCGGTCTATTTATTTAAAATGATCCAGCGTATAGAATAATTTTTTTTAATGAATAATAAATCTTATCAATAAATCTATCTGTATTTTGATGTCTGCAATATTTATTTAACAATTAGTAGTTATATAAATTAAGTAAGCTACCATGTACAAGCTGTGTAGACCTCCACGAATAAAACAAACGAGAATCAGATTGCTCGAGAGAGTATTGCAGTACGTTCTTCCTTTTTTTCTCGCTGTCTCTCTCCAGGACAACGAGAAGAGAGTAAAGTATTGCATCGTTTTGATTGCTTGCTCACTCAGCTGTATCTCTTCCATTGTCGTTATTTTTTTATACCTTTATTTGAATAAAAAAGAAGGAAAAAAAGAATGTCTTCGAAGGAGCTATATATCGGTAATCTTGATCCAGATACGAAATCACAAGAGATGAAAGATATCTTCGAACAGTATGGGAAAGTTAATAGATGTGAGGTTAAATTTGGCGTTTCAGGTAAAATAAATTTAAAATATAAATAGAAGCTATCTGATTGAATTAATTTCTAGTATATTCAGTAGCATTTGGTTTCATTGCATTCGAATCCAGTAGAGATGCCGAGGTATTATATTCATGAATTGATTGCTCACTATCGAAAACTTGAGGGTGATTGGTAACTACAACTAATTTACTAGAGTATTATTTTTTATTTTGTTTTATTTTGTCTTGATCATAATAAATTCTCTCCATTTGGCGTTTCGGTAAGTGATACGACATCTCCGATCTACTTTCATCATCGTGGATCAGTCAAAACTGCAACCTTCTCCTCCTCATTCCTCATTTCTCCTTGTCATCCCGTGATACATCGTCAGAGCAGTTCCTTCGTCGATGAATTTTCCACGGTACATATCTTACTTATTTTCAAATTGTTAAATTTTATTTTTCATATACTATACCATGGCTTTTAACTGCATATAGAAGATTCATTTTTTTTCTTTTATCTGAAGCTTACTTTTTATATATTTTTAATAGCGTGCTCAACGAAAAGAACATGGTCGCAGTCATCGTGGTCGTCGATTGATTGTTGAATTTAGCAAAACAACGCCAGGACAAAATCGACAACGCAGTCAATACAGTGTTGGAAATGAACGTGTAAGATTATTTATTTATATTTATTATTAAATTCAGCATAAAAAAAACATAGATGAATAATGGCAATAGTAATGGACGAAATCGTTCTAGATCTCATGATCGTAATAATTCAAAAAGTCGAAGACGTCGTTCACCATCGTATAGTCAAAGATCATCGATGTAATTTCTTTTGATTAGCATAAAGAAATCGACTACTTGTTTTTACCGATTTTTCTTTTTCTAACCATTAGAGATCGAATAAGTACTGATAATCATCGTCGAAAACGTGATCGTTCATCTTTATCAAATGATTATAAATCAAGTTCAAAACAACATCGTTCATTTTCAAATCATAGTAAACATCATATTTCATATTCAAGTAAAACTGAAAATAGTGACAAGCAATGATTATCATACAGTTTCATAAGATAATATTTTATTGCATACTTTTATGATAATTAGACTTATTGAAAACAGTATTCATTTTGTTTTTCTTTTCTTTTCTTTTCTTTTCTTATTTTCATATTTTGTGTTAATTAAGAATAAGAATCTATTTGTATACATTGGCTTCTTTTCTTGCGGGCTATACTATGTATATATCTTCTTTTTCTTTTTTTGAAGATGCAGCAGAAAATGAACTGTATTAATAAAATAAGCAAACAAGAAACGGCGGATTTTTTGGGATTTTAAATCCGAAAAATCTCAAAATAATCCCAAAATTTAAAAGCATTCCCCTCCCCCCCTCCCGTTAATGACGTAGTTTCGACGAAAATCCTTTTCATATATAGGTTACATGGCTCATAGAAGATCCTAAAAGTTTCAACTCGAACGAATGTTTTCTTCTTAAAATATTCTAAGGATCATGAGATTTTGAAAATCCGAAAAATCTCGAATCCGCCTTTCCCCCTTGAAAATAAGTTAATGAATATATTCTTCATGAAAAAAATTAACTTAGATGCTTTTCGTAAAAAATGATTAATATTGTTCAGTAAGAATTGTTACGAATGAATAGGATTAATTTATTCTCGTGTATCATCATCAAAATAAATGTCTCGCATTGTGACACAATCCATTAATGGCTATTTTTATAGAATAATCTTAATACTGCGAAATAGCTTCTACTTGAAAAATTTCAAAAATAATCATGAAATCAGCTCAATAAAAGTTTTAGTTATACTGATTGTATAAAAAAATTGTTTTGAATTATAATCGATATGTCTCTCGTGTTTTTTTGTATTATTCATGACTGTACATATATGTTTCTGATATTGATCTTATTTCTTGAAATCCTTTGTATCCAACTACAAAATAGTAAATATTTTGTTTGAGATCTAATATAAAGGAAAAATAAAATTGTTATTAAGCAAGAAGATTAATATTTGACTTCTTTATTAATCTAACGCCGATGGCACGCTCGAGAAAATTCAAATTTGATCTCAACGTGATCAGAGTTAAAACTAGACTTCGAAATTCTATATTATACTTTAATAAAAGTAAATCATTAAATAAAAATAATGGGATTTCAAATTATGCTTAGCTTTATATGTTGTGCATTTCATTAAAAAGAAAAATGTCTTGAAATAGTTTGCAGGTGTCAATTTAATTAGTTTGTATTTGTATAAATTGATCCAAAAAAAGACAAATATATGTTGCAACAAATTACCACTGTCCACTCTCATTCGCTCTTGCTGCTGTTGTCGCTGTTGGTTCTATATTCCATGATGATGTTGTTATAGTAGTTAAAGGATCCGACGAAGATTTATTATCAATTACAAATTTTTTTGCAACACCATGTGCCAATAACATGCCACCGTACAAAAATGAAAATTTAAGTAGAACACATCCAATACCTTTGTATAAACCAGCACTTCCTTCACTTTCGTCAATTGACTTCAAACAAGACCAAAAGTCTGTATAATAAATTGACGAATTAATCGGTAATACTCCAACACCAGTATCTGTATTATCAATAATAGCACGAACGCCTTGTACATGAAGACGATGCACAATTGTTTCAACCGGATAAAATAATAATTGACCAAAAAATCCTGCAGCAATACGAGCAATTATTGATGCATAGGTTGTTTCAAAAAGAAGAGCATTTTCTTCTGTTTCATAATCATCATCTAATGATACCTATAGAGATGAAAATAAAAAACGAATTTTTGTTCAAAAGAATGAATTTCTTTAATGTTGAAAATTACTTGAGCAATCCGTCTTTGTTTTCTCTTTCGATAACGATCAGCGTCTTGAATTGCATTTAATGTTGGTAATATGATTTTATACAAAATTTTCTCGCATATATAGCGTCCTGTCATCAGACCAACAGCCGGAATAAGAATTTTCCATATAGGTAACATTTTACTACGGCCAACACCGATTGATGACGAATAAGGAATAAATCGAACAAGTGTATCTCGTATACCATCAAGTAGATTACCATCAGATGCACTTACACTTTGAACTGATTCAATAAGCATTACATAATATATTGGAGAGACAATCAAGTAAGCAACTCTATAAAACAAAATATAAATGCAACCACAACAACAACAACAACAATAATAATAATAATAATAATAATAATAATAATCATCCATTTTATTAAACATACGTTCGAACAGCTACGTTACGTGCAACTCGACGAAGTTGTTGTGTTCGATTATGTTTACTTCTGCGATAGAACAATCGAAATAAAACAATAAATGAAAAAGCAATTATTTACTTTTTGACAGGAATTAAGTCTTGAAGGAAATTATCTGTTGCTACTACTAAACCATTATAAGCAAGTGAAGTAAGAACTCCTTTCCACAGTGAAGATGGGCCCTACCAAAAACCAAAATCATTCATAGAAAAAATTTGATCTTGATAAAAAATAGTTCTGTTTACTTGTGCTGAGATTTTAAAGAGAACTGGAAAAACACTGACTGGAGATAAATGATATTTGGCAGCTTCATTATTGACCTTAAAATAAAGTAATAAAATATTGAATCTAAGCATTACTGATTGACAGTTTTCATTACTTGAATTTGTCGTCTTAGAACATCTAACGGATAGAGAAGTACATGTTCGGAAAAGAGACTAAAAAACAAACAATAAAAAGTACAATTGATGATTATGTTAAATATAGTGTGCTCAAAAAACATTAGTTACCACAGAAAAAGAATTTTACATCTCAAGTTAAAGTGAAAATGCCTTTAATTTAATTTTGAAAAGCAAAATGCAGGAGATTTTTTACTAACTTGCATCAATATTCTTTATTATGTCAGACTTTTTGTCATCTGAATGTTCTCCTTTAACTTAATAAATATTGGCATGAAATATAAAGAAACATATTTTGAGTAATTTGTATTTGTCTTCGAAGTAATTTGTTTTTTGTTTATTAAAAACTTTGATGAGAACTTAGCGGATAAAAACTCATAAGATTGAACAGTTTTTATTGTACAGTCGTCATTTAAGACAAAACAAATTAGCTAAGAAAAATCTTGTCGAAAAAATATTTACAAACTAAAAGAAGATCATTTAGATGTTAAATATCGAGAGTAAAAAATAAAAATTAGCGACATGAACTAAACAAACTCGTAGTTAGTTTCATAAAATTTTCAGATGAGTTTCACAGTATATCTGTTATATATTATAAGTTACCTGGCCATTTTAAGTCCAGCTGCATAATTACTAGCGGCTTGTTTTGAATCTTCTAAAGAAAAGAAAATATACAATATATTTCAAGAATCTAACCTATAGGCAAACAAATTTACTTGAAATGTTTGGTCGACTGACAACATCAGGATAATGAAGCGCTGACGGTGATCGATCCATATTTTTATATCTATAATGAATATTTTCTGAGCTATTAGGTTATTTCAAAGTCGAACTCGAAGTTCAAATTTATTGCAAAAAAAACTATACAAAACATAAAACAAGAATAGTTCATTTATTGGATGAAGGCTTCGCTTCAGCTTCTTCTTCTTTTTCATGTTCAAGTTTTTCTTCGAATTCTTCGAATTCTTTTTTTGCTTTTTTATCTACTTCATCTTCGGCCTAAAAAATCGAAAATAAATTTTTCAAATAAGAAAATATCTTCTAGGAAATAACTAACTTGTTCAACAGCTGTAACTTCCGGTACATAAAATTGTAACATATTTTGAATGCCACTTTTTAATGTAATCATCGAACTTGGACATGAAGTACAGGCACCTTGTAATTTTAATTTAACAATACCATTAGAGAACGACTTTTGAAATAAATTGAAAAAGAAAAATTTAATAAGCAATATGTTTATTTTATTTACCACGAAGGTAACATCACCTCCATCTTCTTGAACTGTTGGTCGTATTCTTGAATCAAGCAGTTCCTTAATCATAGCTGTTGTGTCATCATCCTCAGGTGAAACACCTATTCATAATTCAAAACTGTATAACTATCGCTTTTCTTTTCTCTTAAATTAGTATCATGAAAAGCAAGAGCATAATAAATAAAACGCACTAGCTTACTACTTGTTGGTGGTTCAGTATTGTCATCGACAACAGGCAAATTTGTTGAGAAAAAATCCATAATGGCAGCATAAATCTCTGGTTTAAGTACTTGCCATTGAATATCATCGTGTTGTTTTGTTACTGTTATAAAATCAGAACCCAAAAATACAGATTTAATACCTTCGACACGAAATAATTGCCTGATTAAACAAACAAAAAATGAATTAAAGACGTCCAACGAAAAACAGAAACTTTTAAAAATATACTTTGCTAGTGGGGAGCAATATGCTGTTTGAATAGTAGGAAAATCTCGCGTACCAACACCTGAATCAAGTACTGGACGCCCAGGCAGAAATTTAAGACTATTTGGATTTGGAGTTTCTTGTGATTGAATAAACATGGTGCGGCCTATTTGAAAAGATGATTTCGTTTTTTTAACAATCATATTGACATCTGTTTAAGACGCGAAAATGACAAGCAATCATCCGAAAACTTCAATATTATTTAATATTTTTGCTTCCGATTTAGAAACATTGAGTATCATTTTCTCTTTTATTTTATTTTTTATGAAAATGTTCGCGTCTTTTAAAGATGACAAAAGAAAAGATCGTATCATATTTACGTAAGACACTCCATAATTGAGAAGAAAAATTTAATCGAAATGGTGATCGTAATAACATCTAAAAAAAACGACATAGGTAGTATTCAATGTTGTTTCCTTATTTTGAATCTTTTATTCTAGAAGACGACAGAATAGAGAAGCTACAATATAATAGTGAATTAGGAGGAGAAAAGAGAAATCGAAAATCAATTGTCTTTAGACATTGCTTGTCAAAATTTCAGTGTAAGCTTTGATCTTGCTTGCAATACTCATATCAATATATCGATCACCAATTTCTACAATCATTCCACCCATAATTGATGGATCAACACTTGTTTCAACGTTAAGTTTTTCTTCTTTTTTACTAAATTGTTTTAATACCGAATCAAGTTCACCACGTAATTTTGTATCTAATGGTTTAGCTGTTATAACTCGGCATATCAATTCTCCTCGATTAGCAGACATTAAACGATTCATAACTGATACGAATTTTGTTAATCGCTTTTCTCGTCGATTATCAATAAATGTTTCTAATGTAGTTCGAGTCATATCAGATAAACCTATATCTTTAATTAAAGCGAAACGTTGTTCACGTGTAACGCCTGGATTACGAAATAAATCAGCAATTGATTTATTTTTCGATAAAAGATTATCCAATTTTTGAAAATCAGCATCAATTTGGTCTAGTTTATTTTGTTTTGATGCCGCTGAAAATAAGGCTGAAGCATAGCGACCTTCTACACCGAATACATGTATCGGTGGTGAAACCAATACTGATGGTGAATCCGATGAAGTTGATTTCACTGTTTGAAAAAGAGAACCACTTGTACTAAAACAACGTCCAAGTTGACCACGAATACCGACTAACCGATTGGCCATCATCGTTATTGTTTCTTTTATTCAAAAAATTGAATCTAAAATTTACAAAAGAAAAAAACCCCAAGTGAATGTTTGGAATGCAAACGTCGAAATAATAAACAAGTCCAATGCATATTTGATTGGCTTCTGATTGGTTAGAATAAGTCCTCTACGATAAAAAGCGTTTTTTTACATGTCGTTGTAATCTACGCCATCGACGAGAAGAATGTCGAGAGAAGAAAAAAGTGTTCCTTTTTTCTTGTTCTTTCTTCTGTCTTTTTTTTCTGGGCAAATCTTCACTTATTTTTACACGATGCAGGAAACGATGATCTTTGGGTCTTTTTTTCCTTATTGTTCTTCGTTGATGTTGTTCGGCAGTTTTTAGTTATTTATAAAGAACGAAGATGTCGACGTCTAAACCTGTTGAGTGGGTTACAGCGTTGATTGAAAGATTTGAAGATCAAGTAATTTTAAAATAATTCTTAACCTGATTGGATTTCTTGAATCAATTTATTTTTTAGCTACCCATCAAATGTGGTGAATTAACGAATCAAATGCATCTTAATTTAGAACAAAATAAAGAATGTTTAATTTCCTTGAGTCGTTTTAAATTTTCGCTTGTTATAAATGGACTTACAGATATTTTAAAAGCAATTGATAATACTGTAAAATATATTTTTATTCGTATTTATGATAAAATTCGATTTATTTTTTCTCTTTATTTTACACAGCGATATGGTGGTTTTGATCAAGAAAAAAATATTTATGAATCATATTTAATTGTTCTTGATGCTGTTGAGCAGTGCTTAGCGAATGTAATTTATTATTTATTTATCCTTGTTATGATTGATTCTACGTTTTTTTACTTTGTTTTTTTCTTCCTTTAAAGACAAAAGATATGAGCACGAGTCGTTTACATGAGGCTATTTATGTTAATAGATTATTACCAGTAGTTTGCAAAGTAAGATTAATGTTTTATTTTATTCGCAAAAAATAATTCATTTATAACTATTTAAGTTATTAAATGTTCCCGGTGATGGTATAACAGTCCAACATGTTCGACAACTTGCTTCGAATGTTTTATTTGCATTAAGTGTTAACAATTTCAGTACACTTTTTAGTAAAGTTGTTTCACGGTAAACTTGATAAAGATTTATTTTCTTTTTTTGAAACTTGTCTAAATCCGATGCAATTACGTATTTAGGATACTTTATTTTCTCATGAAGGTAAAAAAAAAGATATGAAACTACAAATTTTGCTGATACTAATTTAATGATTAACATAAAGATTCTTAGTTTTCAATAATTTCATCAGATTTTTATTTTCTTAGACTTGAAAGTTTGATTACATCGGGCGATGAAACTTACGAAGCCGGTGATCTTGACCTTATTCAACATATGAATGTTGATATGCTCAAATTAACAAGACTTCTTAATGGTAATTTGAATCTTTTTTTTTATAAATTAAATATTGAATTCTTTTTTTCCACAGAGAAAGTACAAAAATGGCGTTCACTAAAAAAAATTCATCATACAGAACTTGTTAAAAGTGTTGAAAAGGTAAGATTAAATTAATTAAAACTAAATAGAGATGACGAATCTAAAAGAATATTTTTTTTGTAGGCAATTTGGAATTGGTTAGATACATATCCTGAAGAATTTACTGATTTACAAAAACGGCCAAATGCTGAATTAAGTGGTAAGTTTTAATTCATTTTATTGTACAAAAGAAAAAGAGATTTTATTTAAATAAAAAAGATAATTGTGAAAAATTATTTGAATTACTCGATTCATTTGGGGAGTCGAATCGTCGTAAAGTTCAATATGTTTGGCCATTACAAACGATGTTACTAGTTTTATGTCCAATAATTCTCGAAGAATTAGTTTATGCATTAGAAAAAGGTGGTCCTTGTTCAGCTGAACATTTACGTAAAAGAAATTTTGTTGATGCATTAAAACGTCAATTACATGCACAAGTATTAGGTAAACAACATTCAGCTGGTGGAACTGAATCTGCAGCTGTTGTTACATTTGTTAAATTATGCAAAGCAGCTACATACATTAATAATAAAGATTCAAATAATGTTTTGTTTGTTATGGTACAATCAGTTATTGGTGATTTAAAACAAATATTATTTAATCCATCGAAACCATTTTCACGTGGTC